TCTCTCATCGAAGCCACCTCCTTCTTCAAAAACCCGCCCAAGTTCGGATCTTTCTCTTCCTCCCCTCTCAGATTCAACCCCCTTCTACAGAAAACCCTCAAACTCTCATTTCCCCCGATCAAAAACCCTAATTTCGTCAAATCCTCCCCCAGATTCTCCCTAACCCCAATCGCAGCATCCAATTCCTCTTATGAAGGACGGAAGCAGACCCCGTTGGCTCGCGGAGGCGATACCTGAAACTCTTAAATCCCTGAAGAAACCCGCAATTGCCCTTGTTTTACTAGGGTTTCTATTGACTTGGGATCCTCATACGGCTCTAGCAGCTTCTGGGGGGAGAATGGGAGGGAGATCTTTTTCTTCTTCTTCTTCTTCGTCTTCGAGGAGTTACTCGGCACCCTCGAGTTCTTTCTCTTATTCCGTGCCCTATTATGCGCCATCGCCGTTCGGAGCTGGGGGAGGGTTTTACTTGGGGCCCGCTGTCGGAGTCGGGTTCGGCGCTGGGTCTGGGTTTTTTCTACTGATGATGGGTTTTGCGGCGGTGATTTTGCTGTCCGGGTTTTTGTCGGATCGGAGTGATGATGGGAGTGTTCTTACAGCTGCTCAGAAAACCAGTGTGCTAAAGCTTCAGGTTTGAAAAAAAATGTTAATTTAATCTTGTTCCATTGAATTGTTATTAACTAGAAATTTCGTTTTGCTGAATATAACATGTAAATGATGCTTACTTCAAGGGTAGGTAAAGATTCAGACCTAACAATGCAAGAAGTAATTTTGAGTTGTAAGCTAGTACTGCAAGATGTCTTTGTTTAGAATTACTGTTGTCGAATCTACCTTTTAAATTTGCAAAACTTCCGTTTGTTCTTAACTTGCTTTTGCTTCTTTCATTAGCTCAAGACATTAAGTTTGCTTAATTTCAGAAGTATTCTGTTAGTTAATATGCATCCACCTCATATAATTGATTTTTTAACGTGGCCCTTATTACAGAGCTACTTTTAAGGCAGTGGCATTGAGAACTGTGACCATTGAGGATTTTTGCCTTGGTTCAAAACACAGGAAACTTATCAGAAATTAAAATGGGTTGAAAATATAAGAGTATACATGATATTTTGCATGCAGACATGTAACCTAAGAGAAAATAGAGAGTACTAGTAGGGCAACATTTGTTGCACATGATGGTATACTTTCACTGACAGTCAAAGAGAGCACAATAGAGAATTGTTAGATTCTTCATTCATGTATGGTCCATTGGTATGTCGTTAAGTATAATTAAATATTTCAATGTAGACTTTTCGTAAAATAGATTTCTTTTTTCAATGCAAACTGTAACTAAAATTGCTAGTACTATAATATTCCTTGTATGTGAGACAGTTCCTCCTACATGGGTGGAGGGTTAGGCTAGACCCACATTTGTAGGTAGATGATACATGTATGTTTTTTTTCTTTAGCAATATTACAGCATCCAGCTCCTTTTAAGGTGAAGTTAGTACTATAGTCTAAGGTCATCGAATTCAGAGTTCATCATCACTACCACTATCAACTTTTCCCCTATGGACTACAAACAGCTGAAGTTGAGACAGCTCCAGTAAATAATTACCATGTCTTTACATTGGACTTTCAAACTGTCACCGTCCTTTTATATACTTGTGCCAAATTCTATGCAGGAGATGCCATAGGACCTTCATATCAGCTGTCAGGCATCATCTTTTATCTATATGTTCCAATTTCTACATAGGCCATGACAGCCATATCATAGAACCTTCATTCCAGTTGGCAGGTAGGCAGACCTTTGTTTCCTGTTCGGAATAATATTATGTAACCAAGGAGCAGTTATCCCAGCTCATGTTGTTTAGGCAGACAACATACGTGTAAGATGGAGACAGTTTGTTAGCATTGTCAATTAATATCCAGTAGATAGAAACTTTAGCCTGCTAAGTGTTAATAGATGCCTATATTCTGTTGAAGTTTAAATTGCATTGTGTCCCTATATTCTGTTGTATATTGGGGTGTTATCATTAATATGCATGGTTTTTTTTTTGAAAAATATCCTTCAAAACAAAATAGGAGAGAAGTAAAATTGTTTAGCTAGGAAATGCATGCATGAGTTTTTTCTACTTCAATAATCATGGTAGTCAGAGGCTATTTGATTCATTTTCCAGAAATGAACAGTGAGATAAACATTAACATGCTGGTTACCTTTTGTAGTTAAGTAGGTCATAAGAAACACACATTTGAAGCTCAGATATTCTTTTGGAAACTGCAGTGAAGTGTTCAACCCTGTATATGTTAATTTACTTGATTTCGGACAGGCTCTATGCAGGTGTCATTTGTTCGTACATTGTTTTAATATATATACTGTTTGCGGAGGTTAAGTCCCTCTAATTTCTTAGTAATTTGCCTTGTGATGTTAGAAAATGCGCAAATTCAACATCTTAAATAAGAGGACCTTTTAGATGAGAAGTTATCAACTTGGTAATGTAGCATTTAGTGTAATCTGCTAATTGACACGCCTTCTCAGGTTGGGTTGCTGGGCATGGCAAGATCGCTGCAAAAGGATCTTGATCGGATTGCTGAAACTGCAGATACCTCTACACCAGAGGGGCTGAGTTATGTATTGACAGGTGAGCTGCATAAGGGCATGTTCACTTTTGTTGTTTATTTTAGTGATTCTCTTTTTTCGTGCTGAAGTCTTATTCATGATCCTCATCTGCCTGAAACTGCAATCTTAAAGACAACTTTTGTGCCCTGTTTTTATGGTGGTAGAATTTTGTTTGTGTAGCCCTGTTTTGTGAAAAGAAAAAGAAAAGAAAAGAAAACATTTCTGTGTATCAAGCCATTCATGGTAGCTATATATTCTAGATTTACACATTTGAAATTTAAGAATTATTGTTTGAGCCATTCTATGCAAGGGTAGTCACTGCTATATATGCCTTCCTTCGGTCCAATTGGGATGTCCTGCTACCCAGGTTATCTCATGACTGATCTACCTTCCTTTGATTACGACACAGTAAGTGCTCTGATTCTCCTTTTCTGACATGCAAAAGAGAATAGTGGTTGATGCATGGTGTTACTACATGAACTCATCTGATTGGCATGTTCAAGAACTATAGATATGTCTTGTCTTCTATGTGTTTATGACCTGTAAGTGATCTGGTATTAGTTCCAACAGAAATGTTGAAGTGCAAAGATGATGCCATCTGGAAGTGTTGTAAGCTAAAAAGAGAGGCGTCTACCTCCTTTCATCCCTGTCTATCATGTGCAGTGGATCTTCCGGGGCTATCAAGAAACTAACACTTAAATGACTTCTCTGTTAAAATCCTAATGGGGCAGTCTAGACTCTACTTAATATTTCATCTGCACCACTATCTTCAAGTGTCAATTGAAATATAGTTTGAATGTTAAAGTAACCCTGTTCTTAAGGCAAATAAGCTAAACCATAATATGGGGACTCAAGAAACAAGTAGATTGAACTTCACACAGTTTAATCCATAAATGTGGTGACAACCAAGAGTCTGTATTTTAAGATGGTTAATTCTGGAGGCATCTATATGCTTCTTAACCAGTTGGCTTTTTTCCTGCATACAACACAGAGGACATGCATGTTTTGTACTTTATAGTGTCTTGACTAATGTGCATCCTAGTATTGTTAATATTTTTGGTATTTCAGCGTCTCTAAGTTCTGCAAGACTAAATTACCAGATTGGTATTAAAATTAGTACATAACGACCAGATTGGTACTAAAAGAAAATCCGGCGACAATAGAGTATTACAACTTGCACAACAAGACAATTTGGCCTACATCTGAAAATCTGGCCACTTCCTCCGGTTAAACAGTCATGTGAGCTAGCACGTGATGCTTATTTGGCTCTCTTAAATGAAATGTGGGTGATGTGGCAGACGAAAATGGAGGGAATTAACTACCCTAACCAAAGGAACCCCATTCCCCCTCTCTCTATGCTGAGGGATGGGCATTTTCATCAACCTAGACTCATGAAGTCCTAGTGTCGAAGTGGTTCTCTGATACTTGAGGTTGGCCGTGATCGGGAGCTTGAGAAGAAACCATGTTCTCATGCAATAGAGAACCCCCAATACCTAACCTAATACCCATTTTGAAAGAATAAAGAGAAGGAAGCCCCAATCTTTTTTTTACCCTAATTTGAAATCTCCTTATTAGTAATGAATTCAGTGTGGTTAACTACCACTGCCATGGCACCTCTAAGAGAGCCACCTAAGCACCACGTGAACAATCACGTGATAGGCTGCCAGATATTTCCGGAAAAATTATTTTGGGCCAAATTGTCTCATCGTGCAAGTTTTAATACCCTGTTGTCACCGGATTTTCTTTTAATACCAAACTGGTCATTAGGTACTAATTTAAATACCAATCTGGTAATTTTGCTGTTCTGCAAGCATGTGTATTGTCATCCTCTGTTCTATTTTGACTATTTCTTCTTTGTTTGTAGAGACTGCATTGGCTTTGCTCCGGCAACCAGATTATTGCATATCTGCATATTCATCTGTAAGGAACTCCTAGTATCTTCTACTCTAGAAATGTTCTCTAATTCCATGTTTAATAATGCAGACAATATTCAAATGTCTGTAGAGAAAAATGACCTCTTTTTATATTTAATCTTTAAAATGTTGGTAATACGTGGGTTTTAATAGTTCACTTGTTGCACAAAAGTTATGATCTGAAGGTTCTTTGATATTACATTTTTCTCATGGTAGTGTGGAGCTTGGAGCAACCATTACCTACCCTGGTTAATGCTAATAGCAGCATGTGACGATTTTATTTATGTTTTACTTCGAGTCTTTCCTATCATTCAAAGGAGACGCGTGTAGTTTAGCTCCCCACATTCAGTTCTCTTGTAATTCTCTTCTTCAGTTGCGAGTTAGGCTACCAAATGATTAAAATTCTAAGCAAATGAAGGATATAGAAACATAATGATAGATGCAAAATTTTGCTCGCGTATGCAGCAGCCGTGTAGTTTCTCCATCTCGTGAGGCAATAACTATTATATCCTATCCTAAAGTTACTGGTTAACTACTGCAAATAATACTCCCGCACCTCCAGCACACGCGCGCGCGCACATGTGCGTGCACACACATGTATATGCACATCATAATGCCCTGCACTTGGATGGCAGAAAGAAGAAAAGAAGTGCTTTACTCTAGCCTTTTGCCTCTCTAACTTAAAATGGAGTTGCAGACGCCGATATTGAGTTTCCTTGAAATCATTCATTGGCAACATTAACTTTTGACAGTTCCTTCTCCTATCAATTTTACTATATGGGTGTTGAGTAGACTTCTGTGTCATCTAGGCTTCTTGTTTAAACATATTTTTAGTTTCGTTTAATCTTACCATCAAGTAACTTGATACTTATCTGTGCGCAAGATTCATGGATAAATTAAGTCTTAATCATAGTAATTGATAGCACTATGACTTCTTCCAATTACCTTACATGAATGATGCTAAAGCCTAAAGTTTGTAGTTGAAATTTAAGATTCAAATGATTGATTCCTTTAAACGACGCCTGAAGTACATTCAGTCATCTGTTAAACACTAACGAATTAGACATTGTATGCACTTATACAGGTGGATGTCAAAAGAAGTATTGAAGATGGGGAGAAGCGATTCAACAAACTTTCAATTGAGGAACGAGGCAAATTTGATGAGGAGACTCTTGTAAATGTGAACAACATTAAGAAGCAAAGGACATCTAGCCAAAGATCCAAAAGTTTTAGCAATGAATACATTGTGGTAAGATCAAACCTTTCCAACATTTGGTTTTACTGCACATAGACTTTATCTTTAAGTTAGAGCATTGTGTTTTACAATTGTCATGAATCATGATATATTGTTGAAAGTCATCATATCTCGTTGATTTACGTTATATTAAATGTTAGTATCAACCCCTAAATTACTGATCTTAGTTGTCTACCCCCTTGCTCCATTTCCAGATTACAATTCTCGTGGCTGCGGAGGGAGTGCACAAACTACCTGTCATTAATAGCAGTGCAGACTTAAAGGAAGCACTACAAAAGCTGGGTTCTATGCCAAGCAACAAGACTCTGGTATACTCACTGAACCCATCTAGAAAAGAATCGAAATATACAACTGTTGAAACGTTATTTCAATATCTGACACCTAACTGGATATCATTTTGGCTGTTATAAGTGCTGGTGGACTCCTCAGAATGAAAACGACACTCTTTCAGAGAGGAGCTTCTTGAAGACATCCACTTTTAAGGCCATTGTAAGATTAAAACCCGAAAGTTTTTCTGTATACCGTTGCTTCTGTAAAAATGAAATGTGTATATAAAGTAGATTTACAGAAGTTTTACATTATTGATTTTGTTACAAAGAGGGCTTGTAATTATAACAGAAGGCTTCTGTTTTCTTCTTGCATTCTCTTCACTGCTTGTCTTTTCGTTATTTTCTGACCATCTGATGAGGGCCATGAGGCCGACTCCTTTTGAAGAATACTGCAAATCTTTAGAATTTGTTCCAGTTTGGGGATATTTAATAATTAATAACCTGTTACCATATTTCAGACCATAGCTAGTATCTGCACAAGTATGAAAATTATAGCATAAATTAATATTTCCAGGCAGTAGATTATCTGGTTCTGTTTTGTTTGTCTTCACTTTCTTTCTTGTTTGTTTTCCTGGGTTCTGAGATTTGCATTGAACTTGTTCTCTCCCGGCGATGAGTATAGTCCTAACTCCTGGCTAATATAACGAAGTATCACAAGTATATAGGCATTCATTTTACGTGATTCAGATTTGATGCTAAACTGAGACAAAATGGCACGTTCATACTAGTAGTAGTAGGGTTTGATTTGAATTTCGGTCTCATTTGTAACCTATGAACATTGCAAGTCCTTAAAACGTGGTTAAATTTTTAACACTAGTTAAAACTGCTCCAATCCTGAAGGACAACACAAATGGTTCTTACCCATTTTGGTGTATCCTCTTCCATTGTGCTGCTGCTCTTGGTGACTATAGGATAAGAATTTTGAACGCAACGAGGACGATGAAGTTTTTATTTTTAGCAAGGTTACTGAATAGTTAGCTTTGATAGGCTTAACTGCTTGGTTTTAGAAATGAATAGAGTGCTGCCGGAATGCTGCGTGTATAAATATTGGCATTGTATCCAGATCTAGACCAGAACTGCCATCTCAATTTTTTTGTGAGATTTTTATTTTGATATAAAGCTTGAATTTATCGAATATTTGTTGCCGATCTTTCTGTTTCCTATAATATATAAATAATATGTTCCGTTTATGAAACAATACAAGTATTGCTTTGGCTGATTCACTACTCCATTTATAGGTAACTGTTATCATTGCGGGTTGCTGCTGAGGAAGACCACGAATTATCTGTAATGCAGCTACACGGACTGCTCTGGTAACACAGGAATGTTGTTTGTTGATGCATATACCACAATGCGAACGCTGAAAGATGCTAAAATTTCCGGTCACGCTCAAATTATTTTTCTCTCGGCAGGCTGCGGAGAGTGTCATGGATTCTTTCAAGTGAGAATGATGCAATTTCAGAGAAGGAGCTTATTGAAGACTATCCACTTTAGAGGCCCCTGTAAGAGATTCAATATTCTTGATAATCATAGAATGAATGCTATTCATTATCTTGCAATAAAGTGTGCTGATAGTTTCTGGTGAAAAACTTACTCTATTTCTTCTATTGTTCAATCTCGTAGCTCCGAATATATAATGGGTGTTTGCCTCTTCCTCCAGTTTCGTCATATTCCGTCGCGGTATCTAGATCTTGTAAGTAATGTTAATTTTTAGTATCCGTATCCTGTAATATAGTCGTATCTTTTGAAGGATTCTGTTAGATTTATTATAAAATTCTAATCCTCAATCCTCACCACAACTTATGATTAGAGGGACTTTAAGATAGTATCAGAGCTATCCATATCCAAATCCCACCAACCACGAATTAAAAGCGGATTTTCTAAAAATAGTTTTTGGTCCATAAAAAAGGCGGTTAAGGAGCATTGTTAGAATTAATATAAAACTATAACCCTCACCACAACTTCGGAGTTTTGGTCTAATAGTTAGAGGGACTTTAAGAGATCTGAATCTAAGATTTGGAGCCAACTTTGCAAGGAGAAAATATGCTATGAATATTGATCAATGATATTAAATGTGCACCCAGATGATATCAACCTTTGGATCAAGCGCATGGATCACAAAGTTAAATGAACCAAGAGAATAGCAACTTTTAGATCAGCACACGAATTAACAAAGTTAAATGATCTAAACGTTAATATCTTTTGAGTGCACGTCTAATGTCATGTACTGTTTTCACTAGATATATTCTCTGTTTGATAGCTGTGACTACGAGGATGCCACTAGTTTTATGCCCCCATGTCGAAATTCAAAAGTTTGGGTCCTTTGTTAAAGGAGAAATCTTGAAGTCTAAAGAACGTCTAACCATCCAATAAAGCTAGGTATTACATGTCACACCTCCACAAAAGCATCAATTGAGTGCTGTAGCGCACACGTTTGACATGTAGATGTAGATAATTTCTTAATCTGGCATGACAAGGCCGAGTCATTGAATTGACTTGGAATCATAATTCTTCAATAGATAGTTCATGCTTATCAAGACACCCCCACTTGAGTTACGAGCACTAATCTCCTTTTATAAGTTTATCTTCTTGATCATTTCTCACATTTTCAGATATGTGTTTTTCTCATTTTTGAGAGTCACTTTCACCCTTAACTAAATATTACCACTTGAGTTATGAGAGGTAAATTACCTTTAATAAAGCTCCTAATCGCCATCATGTGGTCCAGATGCAGACCTCTTAAATGCCGAGTTCCATGTTTTCAACTCACTAGTGTAGGGTTAGTGGAGTAAAATGACAAATTATCACTTATTATCAAACAAGAAGATATAGTATTTTAAAGGAAGGTCAAGGGGGCAAAGATGAGGAAAGAACTAAGATTTTCAGTTTGCCGTACAATATCCTGTATAATGATACATCTACATACCACGTAATGATATAGAAGCAAAGTTTAAGGTCCATCCATTTAGGTGTAATATAAAGTATTTAGATAGGAAAAAATCCCCAGTATGAGTTAATCGTCTTAAAATGGTATGAAATAACACGTTGAACGCAAGTTTGGTACAAATCCAAAATTTTAAATTCAAGATGCAAAATACTTGTTTTGGTCTAAATAATCATGTACCAAATTTGGTTACATGTAGAATACTTTAGGGCCATTTTGGTATTATTTTTTAGGGTGTTTCAATTTATTTTTTCAAAAATAAGCTAATAAGTGTTTGGTGAAAACTTTTTAGGCATACTTATTGAAAATACTCCCCCTTTTAAGGGCGTGCTATCAGAAGCAATCTGACAATGCTTTTAAAATCAGCTTCTGATTTTTTTAAGTTTATATACCATATACACCTTTTATCTTTTAACAATGATAATTAAACACAGCTCTACCAAACAACTTAACTACTTTTTAAGTAGTTTTTGATATTTGATTACCAAATAGTTATTTTCGGTGGCTTGTTGTATAAGTTATTCTATAAGCTGCTTTTATAAGCAACTTAGTATAAGCTCCAATAATACCAGACTGATTGATTCTTAGAGTATCTCCAACAGCTTCCCCATTTTTTATTTTTGGAGAATTTAGTTAGGTTTTTGGCCCAACAGATTCCCCATCTCATTCCCCAAAATAGGGATGAAGGAGAAAAAATAGGGAAGCTTCCCCAAATCTGCAGCATTCTCTAAATTTTTAGAGGAAAAAATGGATTCTTCAAAATGAGGATGCTGTTGGAGTTGGTGTAAAAATTAGTTGGAGAATATGACTTTTGCTTCCCCATTTTGAAAATTTTTTTGGAGAAGCTGTTGGAGATGCTCTTAGACCGTCTAATTAACCAACTTGTCATATATTATTCAACTTGATCGCACTTCTCACTATTAAAGAAATCATTAAAATACTTTAATTTTTATTTGCAGGTACATTATATGATTTAGATCATTTCAACAATATTGATTGGAGAGAATCCTATAAAACTGTATTATTTTTGTAGTCATCACATGTAAGCATCCCTTAATTATAATCTGAAAGTCCTTAATGTGCAAATGATGAGGCCGGCACAAACACTTCAACCAAATTGACATTGAATTCCCAAGATAATGAGGCTATTAAAATGTTATAATCATGCACCATCAAGTGAAGCATCCAATAGGTTTGCAGCTAATTGTTGGATTTATTGATCAAAATAGCTTTCCAAAATAAGTTTTCAAACTATATATTTGCTAACTACTGGTATTTTTTAGAAATCCTTTGTAGCGTAGTGGAAAGTAAAAGTTTTGATGTTTTAAAAGGTTCTGAGTTTGAGGCTTGCCGTAGGCAAGCGACAATTGTTTTGTCTTAAATAAATCAATTAATCTCTCATAAGTACTAGTAGGTCATGAGCCGTGGGCCGTGAGCCAAGGATCAGGGCTAATCGACCTAAGGCACTAAGTGACGCTTTGAAGGCGCACTTTGCACTTCGCACGAATGTATCGTGGCTAGGTGGCGTCACGTTGACTGCCGCCTCGCAGGCTGCTTTGCAACATGCATGGGAGCTTTGCGTTCACAGGTGACCATCGTGTTCATGCGAGAGTGCGACCCTTGCATTCGCGAGAGGGAACGAGACCCTCGCGTTCGCACGAGGGTGCGACCCTCGCGAGGTGCGACGCAACCCTCACGTTTGCGCGAGGGTGTGAGCCTCGTGTTCGCGAGGCACGCGCGACAGTCGCGTTGCGTAGAAACATGACCCTCTGTTAGACCCTAGAGGTGGGTGATTAGGGCCTTATGCTAATCTAATCCGATTTTTTACCAATTAAAACTTATTAATAAATTATTCTTGCAAGATAGATATACAATATGTTATGAGTAAGAATATACAATATGAACAAAGAGATATATCCTAGCAAAAAGGTATATGATGAAATATATGCAAGGATATATAAATTAACACAAGGGTAAACAATCTAAACTAAAGATACAATTGTGATAGGGCAATATAAACAATGCAAACATAAAATATGATCACGGAGTTCGGACATTCCGTCCTACGTCTCCGCTCCCCACTCCCGGGAAGAAATCCACTATCATAACCGGATTTTATACGCTCACCCGAATAACGTTTACACCTCACAATGTTGGTTTTCAACGCTCACCGATCAACGTTCACAAACACTCACAATGTCGGTTTTCAACGTTCACCGATCAACATCCACTCCTCACACTCTGTTTTCTAGCTCACCGAAAACTTTACAACACTAACAATATAATAACAAATATGTTCTTTACAATAGATAAGAACTCAATGTAGCTCACTCTCAATTGTTACAACTCCCCACAACCTAAATTATATTAAGTATGAAAATACAATAAGCTCAATGATTGTGTGTGTAAGCAATGAGAAAAATTAAATCAACTAAACTCAAATATAAATACTAGCTTAATAGAATGATAATCAAACAATATAAAAGTAAAGCTAGATTGAGTTTAGAAAACTTCTCTAATAAATGACAAGAGAGAGAGAGAGAGAGAGAGAGAGAGAGAGAGATGATTTGAAGCTCAAACACCAAGTGATGATCTCTTCTAGCTCTTGTAGATGATTTGAAGCTCAAACACCAAGTGATGATCTCTTCTAGCTCTTGTGAAATTCTCTTCACAAACAATCTCTTAAACACTCTTTTAAACAAATACAAAACAAACTTAAACCCTTGTTAAACTCTTTTAAAACATTCTCTTAGTTATATATGAAAGATGAGAGCAATGGGGTATATATAGCCTTCCAAAATCTCAGCCAAAAAACCCAATCAAAATGACCAAAAAGCCCAAGAGAAAACAGTTCAGAAACTAGTCGTTGAACTGATCTGACAGTTCGGCGGTCGACCGCGGCGATCGACCGCGAGCAACAAAAAGCTGAAGAAAGGCTATGGAAAGCAGACGGTCGACCGTGGCGGTCGACTGCGAAAGTCTTTGGATTTGCCACGGTCGACCGTCACGGTCGAATTATGAACTGCAGGCGGTCGACCGTGACGGTCGATCGCGAACTGATACATGGGGTTTTTACAGGTTTTTGTAAACAGTTTTTGAGACTTTTAAAAATATGTTAAAAATAACAAATAAAGTCCAAAGATAATAAAACTTTGGAAAATGTATATAAACATGTAAATGAACATGTTACAAAAAGAATTTTCCAAATTGTATTTTTCATTTGTGAAAAATCATCATTTTGCAAAATAGTCCAAAATATGAAAATGTAAACGTATGAATTTTGACATTTTGGCTAAACCATATTTTGAAACTTTACAAAATAATTTTATAGACTTGAAGAATATTCACGAGGCGAATCCTCAGTGTCATTGCGAGAGACTCATCCACACGGTCCTCGCCGACTGCCAATGTGTTGGAACGGCGAAACCTTTGGTATTTGAGAGGCTTTCTCAACAGGCCTCTCGACCGAGGCCCTCCCGTCGAAGGCGCCGTCACCAGAAAAGACGCGCTGCTGACGACCTAAACCAAAACATATATGTATATATATATATATATATATATAACCAAAGCGTGTATGTGTGTATATGATTGAACTTAAAGTACCAACACACATAATATAACACATAAACTAAATGTTACCCAAGCAATCTTAATCTTCAACGAAGCTCTATCTTGGTACACTTACGGATGAAACTTGAACTTGTATCTTTAACTTGAATAGCGATGCTTCAATCACTATTCCACCAACCTCCATTTGATATGATCGTTATGACGCAATCCATCTAACCTCCAACACGTTGTTTGCCTAGAATAAATACGAAAACACAAACACTAGACAAACAACATTAGAAGTAAATTGTTTGTTAAACATCATCAAAACAAAAAGGCCAACACCCTCGTGTTCAGACGTTACTGCATGCAGCAGTTACACCAATTAAATCATTTGATGTTACAATCATAATTGTCATTATGATTTGTAACAATCAAATTGATTGTGGGTGACCCTTGAGCTGGCCTTAGAGGCTTATAAATAGTGCCCATTAGGGCAGCTCTTGGAGAGGAAAACACACTGAAGTGTTGTAAAACTTGAACATATTGAATATATTAAGCTGTTGTGCTGCTGCAGAGTTTAAAAGCGTGCAAGATTTAGTCTGTGCCTGAAGGAACATAGCTCTGAACCGAAAGGTTATTACAGATCGAAAGATCTTTGCCTAAACCGAAAAGTTTTGAACCGAAAAGTTTTAACAGATCGAGGAAATCGTTGCCTTGACCGAAATGTCTTATAGATCGAGGAGATCTTGACAGTACTTGGTTGGTGCATACCATTGTACTGTACTGCTATTTTTGGAAGCAGTTTGACCTTGAGAATCTTGCACTGGAATAGACCAAATATTGCTTTAAGCACAGCATTTCACAAACGCACAACAGCTAACCTGAAAAAGTTTTAAAATATAGCACTTCAGCTTTCTTTCAGTTCTCTCTAATTTATATCTGTTTTATTCCAGATTTAGCCACAGGCCAACACTAATTAGGTTGCCATCATCATTTTACTCAAAAGATTATGATATCCGAAAAGGCTATTAACTTAACACGGTCAAAAGCCATCTCCACTTTAATATATCTTTATCAGATCTGCCCGCTTTAAGTAATAATTAAAAAAAGATTAATTAGAATATTTTTTCTAAAAAAAAACCCCTCCACATGCAAAGTCTTCACGGGATCAAGCGTTAACTAATTGCTGAACAAATTCCATTAGGTTCTCATTATTCTAATAATAAAGAAGGTTGGCCTTTCCTTTCAAGTCCACCCACGACTCTGGTCACACGCCTATATTATTTTTTGATTGATTAGATGTGAGGTTTATCTGAACAATTACATTGAGAACTAAATCATTTTCATTAAAAGTACTTCTAATGAGTACCTATCATTTTCTCCACAAAAACAGTAATTGTTGAGGAGCTTCCTTAGTTTCTTTTTTCTATATCTATATAATAGAAAATTCTCAAGCTAAACATCTAACATCTTAAATTAAATAAATTCTTAATACCATATAATAAGTAGAAGTAACATGCCAAAGCAGCTGTTAAGGGCCTCTTTAGTTCTAGAGAAGGGGTGAAAACGCGGGGAGAGCGTTTTCTTTGTCAGAAAATTGCAAAACAAGAATCCTAGAAACCCGTCTATTTTGCACAAAAATCCTCAAAAATAGTTTTCGAAAATGTTAGCATTCATTATGTTTTCAAGAAAACCCAATTCCACATATTATGCGTAGAATTAGATGGGAACCGTGTGTTTTTATAATTTAATAAATATTTGGACATAGATTTGTTTAGATTGAAACCGCGTGTTTTTATTCCGAAAGTACTCAATCTCCTATAAGAGGTGAATTCCTGTTCTCTGTTTTGAAACAAACTGTTGAATTGTTGCAAAGCAGGATTCCATCGTCCGTTTCTATGTGAAAACAAAACAAAAAAATTTCCAAGAAAATGTCTAATAAAAAAACAGTTTTTAATTTTTTTAAAAAAGAATATAAGATGAGTCCTCACACGAAAGACCCCACCATGCTACTATTTCATCGGAATTCTATTCCTATATTAGTGGGAAATGAAACAAGCCCACCCTTAATTTAAAAATGGGAAATGCCAAAAGGACCCCAAATATGGGACAAGGGGAGGGGACAGGTGAGGTGTCTCCTCCCCACTGTTCATGAACAGTGTATCATGCAGTGGGGAGAGGACACCTCACCCGTCGTCTCATATTTGGGGTCCTCTTAGCACTACTCTTTAAAAATCTTCGGTCCTTTGAGTACGGATGATGAGCCAGCAAGAATCTCATGAGCCTTTATTAAATTAAGTCACGCATATTGCATAAGATCAACATTATATTTTCAAGATTATTCTCTACGATATAACTTTTAAAGTGTTTTAGTCTAGCCGCTATAAGCATCCAAAGGCCAAAGGTTACCATTGGATGCAGGTGTCTTTGCTCTATTTTTCTAAAACTAAAATAGTAGTTTGTTCTTGAATTTAGTCATTTTTTAAAAAGAAACTATTTATACCTCTTCAATATTATTAATCGCAAGATGGATAAATCAAATCCAGTGTTGTGCAAGGCAAGAAGATTCCTGCAAACGTATGAAACTCAACCATGAAGCTAGATTTTAATCCCCTTTGTCTTGAAACTCTAATTACTTGTTGTAAGTAAACTGAGAGCAATAATACATTGACACTATAGTTAATAAAAATACTCATCAGGAGTTTCTTTAAAAAGGAATTGCTTAAGAATTCACCTTAACGCTAAAGGATCAGCCTGCTCTAACTTTAAGAAGAATAAACTGTCATCTTCAAGTCCAAATCTCTATCTGTTAAGGGTCATAGATGAGCTGATCAAAAAATTTTATGATTTTTTCATCTCAGAAAATATGCAGGTATGCGATACCAATTCTCGAATAAATACCTTACCTCGATCATTATGATAAAATCTAAAAGGTAAGTTTACCTAAAAAATTGACATATATCTTAACTTAAGTAGGCACACCATTTTGTACGGCAAGGGCAATAAATTTGGTCACCAAGAGCCATCTCTCTTTAATTTTAGTGGTTTGTCACTTTCATTAGCTGTTACTGCCCAAATTTCTAGTGTAAAACTCAAAAGGGTTGTCCTTCAAGAAAACTTCTAAAATTATTAGAATATTTGCTAATCAAACAAGCCTCCACATGCTAAAACTTAATAAGATCAAGCATCAGCATATGCTCAATAGCTTCCAGTTTTAAGATGGGCATGCATATTGCTTCTTTAATCTAAGCAAAAGAAGTTGGCCTTTCTTTTCAATCCACTCTTTTCGCATGCCTCGATTCCTTTGCGCTTTGAAGTGGTGAGAGGCCTATCACAAACACTGAGATTACTATTGGCACTCGATCAATTCTCTATTCTCGTGTATATCCATGTAATATGCAAATGCTAAGAATCCCAAAAGTTGAAATTGATATCAAATTAAACAGGAAATGTATTGATCCATTTGTTGTATATTATGAGCTTTTCATATCTAACCGAATACCGTCATACTTCAAAACTAAAAGATCAACCTAATTGTTGGGTTGTCATGAACATATGTAAACTAGGCTGATCTACTTGGACTCAGTTGACTCAAAAGGACTACTCCTAATCTGAGTCATGAGCCAGCCATATATAATCATACGTCTAACTATTTTCCAGAGTTGGAGCTAGACTAGACGAAGATATTGAGCTAAATGGATGCGAGACGCTCTTAAAATTAGTCCAAACTGTAATGCAGAGGTTTCACTCTGCTGGCAGTGTACAACAAATTGGACACGAACAGAACCCAAGAACTACTGATTCTTCATATAAGAATAAAAGCTAATCTAGAAAAGATAGAATAAATAAATAAATAAATTCTTCAAACTATGAAATATATGTCTATTATTATGATGTAAAATACAATGCATGGGTGTGGTTTACAGCTCTATAGTTTTCAGAAAATCTCCCACATCATTTCATATACCTTTTCTGAGCTAATACCCACAAAGATCTAAAAAAAAGCAGCATCTAAATGCATAGAGACCTGGCTCTTGAGAGAGAAGTAGGCACTGGATCCCCATTATAGCATCCATTTCCTATGAACATCTTCTCTAAGGCAAAATCAGGATTCAGTTCTTCATCTCGAACCCTTTGAGCTCCCTCGTCAGGCTGACCACCAGCAGACTTCTCAGTATCCACATCAGGGCGACGAAATGAGAATCTTCTACCCAAATGAAAGGACTTTATAGGTTTTGGTAGTCTATAAGTCTCAAACTTACGCCCATTTGTGGCCTCTTTATCAAGATCCAATGATAGATTCATATTTCTCCTCCTCCCTGATCGTTGTCTCCTAAAATCTTTAACCCTCATCCGATACATTGATTTCATCAGTTGTGGATCTTTAGGGATCTTGTTCTCATAATCATGAGATTTTCTTATGTAATTCTGTGATTCATTGTCCATGTTTATTATTACTGGCTCATTATCACAATCTTGATCGGAGTGGCTCTCTTCTGATCCTTGTGGTGCTCCCTCAACTCTGCAACTTATTTCTTCGAACTGATTTTGCTTCTTAAAGCATGGCGTATCTGGAAAGCTCGAAATCTCTTCAATACCCATGCGAGCTTTCCACTCAGGTACTAAGGAAGAAACCTCTCCATCAATCATCTCTGCAATTCTTGTAACCTCGTGATCGGTTATATCCAATTCATCTATCATTTCTGCTGCGACTCCAAGTGCTGTATCAGTGTCGGTGTCAAAAGGGAAGTAGATATTTCGTACACGTCCTGCATAAAACATTATATGGTATTGTTATAAATACTAAAATAACAAATGAAGATCTCTACAAATCAATATGCTTATGTTTGGTTTTGGGAAGGTATCTTGGAAAGAACTACACCTAGTAACTTCAATAATTTTCAGTTGCTAAGGATGACTGACAGTTTGGATGAGCCATTTTTTTCCAACCAAAATTAGTATATTTTCTGTGGAAAAATATGATTCACTATTAAGCAAGAACCTGTAAATCAAAAAGGTTTCACTAATGCACTGGCAAAATATTCAAGGCACCAGCTTGCAATCAATTAGCTATCGGTCTATGAAGAATTACAAGAAGTAATTATAATGAAAATATGGTACTCGTTCCAACTCTAGAGGGTTAAATGACAAGTAGAAAACCATACTCTATAAATGGCTAGAAGACATCGTCTTCTTATCTATATTTTTCAAAAATTATCAATTTTCTAGCAGAATAAACAACTGATACACGAAATATTTCCTATTCACATAAGTTATTTCTTTTGCCTTGAACTCCACAATTCCTTGAACTCAAAAGAATATGAATACGTAAAATTATCAAATATTTCTCACCTTCTTTATCGCCAATTTTGAGCCTAATAAAGATACCCCCATCATCTCCTTTCCTTCCTTTAATCGCAATATCAACATCTGCAACGCTCTCATCCTCATCCTCATCTTCATCACCATCAAAAAGGTCAATACCGTGTTTCTCACAATAAGCTGAATTATCCTCCCAATCATTATCCACATCTGATTCATGCTGAAGATCGTCGGAGGATCCATTAGCAATCAAATAACCATTACTATGGTGTGAACCACAAGAAGGCTGCCTCGATATGGGGCCCATTGAAATAATATCAGGTTCCAAATAACCAGAGCCAATATTATCGGTTTGGAGAAAAGGATCCACTAACAGCTCCCTTGCTGATAACCTCTCAGAGGCTGCTGCAAGGCATTTCTCAATGAATTGCCTCACCTCAGGATCCTTTATTCTATACAATGCATCTGGCTTTGCCCCCTAACAGGAAGTGATGAAGGTCAATAAGAATCACCGAAATCGAAAAAAATTTAGATGAAATTCTAAGAGTTCTTACAGTGATGACTTTTTTGTATATCTGGGCAGGATGAGTGCATTCACTATACGGATATTCAAAAGTAACCATCTCCAGCACGCACATACCAAAGGAATAAATGTCGACTAATTCATTGTATTCTTCTTCATAAACCTCAGGAGCCATGAACTCCGGCGTGCCTACTTAACAACAATTGCAACTTTACCATGAGAACATTCAAAAACTCGAAACACTCAATAAAAATGGGATTTTGTGCTATTTACCTACACAATGAACCGCGTGTGATTTGCGGAGGATAGCGGCTAGTCCCAAATCGCCAATCTTGACTTCCCCATGATTCCCATTGATGAATATATTGTCACATTTGAGATCTCTATGGATGATGGGGGGATTATGACCATGGAGATAGAGAAGACCCATCAAGATCTGCCTACACCAATGCTTAACTGCTCTAATATGAACCCTCTTGTGCATTTGCCTATACCTAAACGTAAAATAAATCAAAACTGAAAATGGGTAATTGAACAATTTTCTCAAAAGGCCCCTGAATCAAAAAAAATTTGGTATACTTACTGCCTGAGGGTGCCAGAGGTGAACATCTCAGTGACAAAATTGATGTTCCTCTTTGAGACATCAACCCATGATGCATAGAATTTCATGATGTTTTTGTGCTTCAAGGTCTTTAAGAGATGGATCTCACAGTAGAGCCTCTCTAAGTCATCCGGGCTCTGCAAAAAGTCATACAGCTTCACTTGGTTCCATGCTACCTCCATCCCTTCATACTCATCAAATGCCTTGTAACTGAATTTAGGATTTTAAAAAAGGGGGAAAAAATCAAATAAAATCCTATCAATCGTAAGAAAAATCGAGCTTATTGATGAGATAATCCACATACACTGTCTTCGAAGCGCCTTTGCCCAGGACCTCATCATACTGAAAATAAAAACAAGAGAAATTAGCCCAGGAACAGAAGGTGATCAAATAAACAGAGGGATCATAAAAATCTTTGATTTTGATTTTTATACCCTGCCAAATCTCCCCGTAGGATCAACCTCTACAAATTCAGGGCAATCTGAGTCATGAGGAGGGATACCCATCATTCTCTACTCAAATCAATCTCCTTTCTGAAGATAAAAGACTTCTCTTTTAAACTCCTTATTACAGAATCATAAACCAAAGAGAGAATTCGAAGAAACTCCCTGAGGACCCACGAGAGAGGAGTTAGAGAGAGAAACAAGCATTTATGAGTGAGAGCTTGGGGGGTTCCATTTTCATCACGAGGACAGATATGAGCAGGTTTCCAAACTCATTAAATACCAAAAAGAAAAAAGAAAAAAAAAAGAAAAAGAAAACACTTATTAACATATAATAATGTTGATGATATAGGAATTCAACAAACAAAACAGTGGGGGGCCAATAAAGGACAGGTTCTGGGGTCCCCTCTGCTTCCTGCCTTCTTCCCTGGCTCTTCCTCTCCAGGGCAGCCACGGTTGAAAGCTATTTGACATCTCGTCGCCACTCCTGATAAATAAATTAATTAATTCTCACCTTTGTTTGAAGATAATATTATCACCCCTTTTGGTTTTATCTTATGGTGACATGTGAGTATGTTGTACTGCACGAGATACTCTTTTTCGGCGGTGGGGCGTATAAGGGGCTAGTTTGGTTGGTTTCTAAAAAGCTAAGAATAGGAAATTGGGTCATGAAAATCTCAAAAATATTAATTTCCTCCATTTACATCCTTAAAACTCACTACAACATCCAATAAAACATTATTTTCATCAAACAACTCATGCATTTTATCCAATAAAATAAAATATTATTTTCATCCATCAACTCATCTCATATCATCTCCTAAAAAAACCAAACACAAGAAATGTGTCACATCATCCAATCCATCTCATTTCATCTTTAAAAATCACACACATCATCCAATAATATGGTGACAACTCATCTCACCTCATTAACATTCAATTTTCTCTCATTTCCTCAAAAAAAATCAAAGAAATTAATTTCCTTAAGTGTGGGTCACATCATTCAATAATATAATGACAACTCATCTTATCTCATCTCATCTCTTATTTTTAAGAATAAACCAAACACAAGAGAAGAACCTATTATAGGAAATAGGTTTCTTATAATTCATTTCCTTATTTTTTTTAACCAACCAAACAATCTCAAAACAAGTTTTCTTAAAAAACCACCCACATCATCCAATAATATGGTGACAACTCATCTCATCTCATCTCATCTCCTATTATATGATTTCCTTCATTTTTTAGCCAACCAAACAACCATAAAACAATTTTTTTTTAAAAAAATAGGTTTCCTATTCTTTGATTTCCTTCTTTTTTTAGCCAAACAAACAGGCCCTAAAATACTGTGAGGTGCAAAGAGACAGTACATTGGTATGTGTGTGTGCACGGGATGCGTGTGGCTGGCGGAGTGGGCGTTTGGCGGAGGCTCTAAGTGACCCAAATACCATGTAGCTTCCCACTTTGTTGCACTTTAACACTGCAAGTCGTGTATTTTTTTATGAAAATACTATAAGATTTCTAAAATTTACTTGTTACTACTATGAATCATGTAAACACGAAAATTTTCAACCGAATATTTCCTTATGATACTTACATGCTAATTCTAGAGCTAATTAACTAATAATAATTGTTAAATTTTCTATTTAGTCAACCGAAAAATGTGTCAATGCCCTAAAAAAAGAAAGTGATTGTGACCAACCCCCTGTATTAATTTTTGTGTGAGAAAGCCCCCAATACATGAAATAATTGTGTTTGAGCCCCTATTTACTTTTCCAACCCAGCACAGAGAAAAAACTATTTATCAAAATCCAAAACCCATTCCCCCAAAACTTATCTGCCTCTTTCTCTCTTCTCTCACTCAAAGCTCAATCATCTCGAGAACCCAAAATTCAAAACCCTAGTTTTCAGTCAAACGTCCATTAAATTCAGAAAAAATTCTAATAAAAATTCAAGTAAAATGACCTAGAACCCTAATATGGAGAAGGGTGAAGGAGACAACACCCAAATGGAAGGGGTTCGTCACCAGTGTCGTTCGACTCGGTTGGCGAATGAGGATGCGCCAAAATCATCCGCCTCCGTCTCTGCCTTCATATCCCTCTCCGGCGGTTCTTCTCCGACATCCTCCGAGGATGAGGAAAATAACGAGACAACAGTGACCCTATTGAGCATGAAAAGGGAACCGAAAGTTTGGGAATGCAAGAGGAGCTGCTCGACGGAGGCTGTGCCCATCCCTAAGAAGAAGTAAGATCCCAATCAATTGAGTGATTTTGAATTTAATTATTTTTTATTATAAGTAATTTATAAAATTATGGTGTTGAATGTTAGTTGAAAATATGAGCGGGAAAAAAGAAAGAAAGTTAACAATTTATTTATTTGAAATGCGATTAAGATTTATGGTTTCTGTTTATGAAAAAATGGCGGTGAAAAACTAGTTATTGTAGTGTAGAACCAGTTTCTTAATTTGGGAGTATGATCTCAATAATATCAAATATAATCATTTTGAAGAAATGTATGTCAATAATTATCATTTGTTGTTAGCTATTAGCAATGCATGGCAATAATTCTCGTTTGTTAGTAATTAATCTTTTCGTTTTATCCCCAGAATATTTTGAGAAAGTGCAGATATGAAGCCGTCCCTTGCGAGCAACAGTCTGGAATGTTAGTATTTCATAAATTTAATCTTTTTATTTTATCCACTATTATATATCTAACTAGCTTGCTACTTTATATCATGCAATTTTAATTGTGGAATTTTAGTGTCCTTATATATGAAGGCTATAATCCGCGGTGTTGATACACTTCAAGTAACTACTCTCGACGATGAATCTGATGTCATATGTGCTAGGCTTGTAGCTGAACTTCTAGTAAAAGGATGGGAACAAAATAATCAAGCAGAGACATTAGATAAGGATGAGAGAAAGTTGTTCTAAAAATTAATTAATTGAACCAAATCTTGTGTGCATGTTTGTATTGTGTATATTAATTTAGTTGTGTAAACAGTTGATGTAGATGACAAACAATGCAGCAAGTTTGACCTTTATTGTTCTTATTGCATTTTGGTATTTTTTCACAATATATTTACGTTTTGTTTTGATACAACATATATTTAACAGGTTCAAATGAAAAGCTACATGTTCACTTGAATTTCAATAGAAAAAGCCAATACTTAACATGTACATTTGACAAGTTAATATATTTAGCTGCGTGTTATCATGTTATAAAGAAAGTTGCTATGTAACAGTGAGAGTTAACATATTATGCTGAAAGTTAACATATTCAGCTGACAGTTAGCGTGCAGAGATGAAATATAACATGTTCATAAGAAAGTTAATATATGCAAATGAAAGTTAGCATATACAGCTGAGAGTTAACATGTTCACGTGAAAGTTAACATATACACCTGAAAGTTAACATATACAGATAAGAGTTAACATTCTCACGTAAAAGTTAACATGTTCAGGTGAAAGTCAACATTTTCAGCTTAAATTTAATATATTCAGTTGAAAGTTAACATATTCACTTGAAAGTGTAAAGAATTTGAAAGTCAACGTGTATAGTTAAAAGCCAACATGTTCATCTCAAAGTTAACATAGTCAAATAAAAGTTAACATGTTTAGCTAAAAGTTATCTAGCTGAAAGTAGTTTTAGCACCAAGATATTTTATAGGAAATACAAACAGTATACCTCAGCTAAACAAGTACATTACACAAAACTTCTTACATTCTTACAACTGATATTGCTTGAGTACACAATAGCATTTTCGTAGCAGCATATGATCATTTTCGTAATAGCATATTATCATTTTATTACATCTGAAGTTAACATGTTCAGCTGAGAGTTATCGCCTTCAAATGAAAGTTAACATGTTCATGTTAAAGTTAACATGTTAGAATGAAAGTTAACACATATAGCAAAAAATTAACATGTTCAGCTGAGAGTTAATGTGTTCAAGTGAAAGTTAACATGTTCACGTTGACGTTAACATGTTTGACTAAAAGTTAATATATACAACATAAGGTTAACATGTTCAGTTGAGAGTTAACATTTTCATGTGAAAGTTAACATATTCATGTTAAAGCCAACATGTTCGTCTAAAAGTTAATATATACATCTAAAAGTTAACATGTACAACTTGTAGTTAACCTTTTTAATTAAAAGTTAATATTTTTAGCTAAAAGTTAACATCTTCACTTAAAAGTTAGCTAAAGAATCTGAATGTCAACGTGTACAGTTGAAAACCAACATTTTCTTTTGAAAGTTAACATAGTCATATGAAATATTAGCACAAAGTTATTCAATTGAAAGTTTTTATAGTACCAAGATATTTAACAAGAAGCAAAAATAGTATACCTCAGCTAAACAAGTACATTACACAAAACTTCTTACATTCTTATAGCTGATATTGCTTGAATATATAATATGATTAGTCTTACAACTTCCCAGATTACAAAAGTCTTCCACAATATACTATAAAATTCTGGACGACCTATATTTCTCTAACAAAAGTATTGTTGTAAGAAGCAGTCCATCCTAATCACTAATTGGCTCATTGCAAGTTGCTCGATTGTGACCATCAGCTTTGCATCGAGAACATTTCGCTAAAATCACAAAGCTTACATCACACAAAGCACAATATTAAAAATAGTTTATTGATTACTTATATTTCACTAAGAACTTTTTAATTTTTTTCAGAAGTGTAGGCTGTCAAAAAAATCACAATAGATAGCTGATCCCCATCAAAACATCGATGATGGAAGTTACAATCTGACGACTTCCAGAAGGCTACAATTTGAAGACTTTCACGTAGATCGCTGAAGGTTACAATCTGACGACCTTCACGACAACCGATGAGAGCTCTAGTTTAACAGCCTTCACCATCAACATCGAGAGTTACAATCTGACGACTCTTGCATATCAAAGAGCTAAAGTAAAGATTACAAAATGACGATCTTTGCAACGCTTCGACAGAAAGAGACTACAAATCAATGGTCTCTTCAAATCAAGCTGCGGAAGTCCTCCCCGCACACCAGCATCAAGACGCAACGCGTTCATAGCCACGAACGCAGCTCAAACGCAGCTTCCAAATCGCTGCAAACGCAACCCAGACGCAGCTCTAATCGCTGACAGACGCAGCTCAAATCGCTGCCAAACGCAGCTCAAATCGCCGCCAGACGCAGATCTGCGTTTGACTCGTTCAAACACGAGTTGAACGGTTTCAAAACCGTTTCCCACGATCTGAGGGGATCACAACTCCACTCAGGAGTGATTTAAGGGGCGGTTACATCCCATTAGCCCCACTTAGGAGCGAATTAAGGAGGTGGTTACACCCCTTAATCCCCTATAAATAACAACAAACTCAACAGAGTTAAGGATCGGATTTTTGATAATCAGATCAGGGCTGGATCTTTGAGGGCGGTCGGTTGGAACTTCTTGGCAGCGAAAAAAGGATCAATC